ATCTTTTGTACCACAGGGAGATTTTTTAAATGGCTCAGCAAAGTGTGTAAAAGAATTGCTGGGCTTAAAGATAAGTTATGCACTTTGACAGTTTTCAAAAACCTTAATTGTCCTAAATGTGCTGCAGTTTCTTCTTACATTCTTTTTTAAATCAGTGCTTTCAAAGGATGGGTAATTTTTTGCTTGTTTGTTTGATTAATAAAGGGAGGAAAAAGCAGCCTCACAACATCTGTAGCTGCTGCTACCATGAGAACATTTTGAATACATCTGGAAGTGTCATATTACAGTGCGATTTATAGCCAAAATCGTTAAGCACAATTTATAAAAACCCCACATCTGCATAGGACAGGATAATAAGGGAATCCTATGGACAACACTACACACATAAATTTGACAACTTAGATGAAATGGGCCAATTCTTTAAAAAGCACAAACTATATAAATTCACCCAATATGAAATAGCATTTGAATAGCCCTATAACTATTAAGGAAATTGAATTAGTAAGTAAAAAACCGCTCTCAAAAGAAGTCACCAGGTTCAAGGGATTTCACCAGAGAATTCTACCAAATATTTAAAGAAGAATCAACACTAGTTCTACCTAATCTCTTTCAGAAAATAGAAGTGTATTCCCAATTCATTTTGTAAAGGATTTTTTTCTTTCTTTCTTTTCTTTTTCCTTTTTTTTCTTTGAGATTTTTTTTTTTTTTTTTTTTTTTTTGCCACAGGGCACATGCACTCACCAGAAAGACAGAGAGAAACAGAGAGACAGAAAGTGAGAAATCACTCCCTGGGGGGATGGTCACGCCACAATCCCTTCTCCTCCATTCTCTTCTTGGGATCTTGGGCATGCACGCACACGCACCCAGCGTGAGTTTGAGCCACTGGGTCTGGGACTCGAACCACAGTCAGCTACGGGGGAATCCAGCAAAGTAGCCATTATGCTATTTGCTGGTCCCAAGATAGGATTTCTGATATCAAAACCAGACAAAGAGTTTACTAAAAAGGATAAATATAGATATGAATATAGATAACAAAAATTCTTAACAAAATTTTAATAACTATAATTCAGCAATATATAAGAATTATACATCATAACTAAGAATAGTGTATTTCAGGATACAAGGTTGATTCAGTATTTGAAAATCAATTTGTGTAATCCACAATATTAACAGACTCGAGAAAGTTACATGATCCTATCAATTAATGCATAATAAACAATTGACAAAGCTCAACATGCATTTGTGATTTAAAAAAATCAAGAAAACTAAGGACAAAGGGAAATAGACCAATAGCTGCCACTACAATTAATGGGGGAAAGGCGTTGAAGGAGTCATTTCCTCTCCCAATGGTCTTGTCACCTGCATCTGGCCACTGGGCTGATGCTTTGTTGCAGCTGGAGAGCTCTCAGCAGGCATGCCTACTGGACACCGGCCTGACTGACGTTCACAGAGAAACACTCAGGCATGGCAGCTGTGGATAGGGAGGTGAGAGGAACAGGAGCAGACGGGTCCTGGTTACCATCCCTGACAAGCAAAGACTAGAGGTCAGTAACTCACTCAGGAACAAACTATTGATCCACACAGCTTAGCTCAATCTCCAGAGAATTATACATAGTGAAAAAAGCTACTCTTGGGCCAGCCAAGCGTGGTGGTTAAGGCGGCTAGATCCTACAAGGCTGACTTCATGGTTTGAGACCCAGACCAGACCAGACGGCTTGAAAAATACACTAGGCATGTGTGCATGCATGCCCAAAATACTGAGAGGAGAATGGAGAAGGGATTATAATGTGGACATCACCCCGGAGGGTACTTTTTCATTCCTCTGTCCCACTGGCAAGTGCATGTGCCCTACAGCAAAAACAAAATCCAACACTACTCTCAAAAAATTACACACTGGATGATACCATTTTTTTTTGGGGGGGGGGGGTTTTTGGTATAGGGTGCATGTGCTCACCAGAAAGACAGAGACAGAGAGATAGAAAGCGAGAAATCACCCCCCAGGGGGGATGGGCACACCACAATCCCTTCTCCATTCTCCTCTTGGGATCTTGGGCACGCACACACATGCACCCGTCGTGAGTTTAAGCCTCTGGGTCTGGAACTCAAATCACGGTCGACTACATGGAAGTCCAGCAACACAGCCATTATACCAACTGCTGGTTCCAATGATACTATTTTTATAACATTGTATTTTTCTTTTTATTGCCAGAGGGTACATGCACTTGCCAGAAAAAGAGTGAGAGAAAGTACCTCCCCCACATAGGACATGGTCATGCCACAATGCCTTCTGCTCCATTTCTCCCTCCTGTCATGATCTGGGGCATGCACATACCTGATGTATTTTCAAGCTGCCAGGGCTGGAACTCAAACTATGGTTAGCCATGTGGATCCTGTTCCCCTAACCATTAGGTGATGGGGCTGGCCCTATATAACATTCTAGAAGTTATAAACATGGAAGACAGACAGATAGGAATGGTGGCCATGGGATTAGGTACAGTGTGGGTGTGGCTGATGGAAGTAGTAGGAAAGAACAACCAGAGGGCTCCTGGAGGGCAGAGGTTCTGTATCTCGTCTGCGGCAATGTGGGTATCCAGGCCGTGATGCTGTCCCGTGGCTTTACAGTGTCACCATTGGGAGAAACCAGATAGCGCTTACCTGAGATCTCTGCAGTGTGTCTTACAAGTGTGTGTAATGTACACTTTTCTTAAAACAAAATTTGATTTTAAAATGATAAGTTCGAACAAAAATGGTATTTGATCCAAGAACCTTCTGTAGGTTCATCCTGTGATGTAGGTTCCCCCTTCACTTCATCCTGTGCATACGTGAAGGTGAACAGATCAGGGGAGTCACCCACAGACAGGGAAGGGGAAGGGTGGGGACAGGATAGCATTAGGTTGTCAGAGAATCATGACGTGTTTTTTGTTTTTCTATGTAAAAATGTGTCATTACTCTTCTGATAACCCAGTAAAATACATTCTACTGTGAATATGAATACATTTCTCTAGAGCAGAGGGCAGTGGGTCTTTTGATCACAAATTTCACTTTGCACACCAAGCCTGGTACACTTTCCAGCATGTTGGAAACAAACTGCTATCTGCCCACATTGGCCCTTACCTGGGGTTGAACCAAGGGTGAGAGGACCGAAGAACACACCACACAATCTGCAGGGATAAATGCTCCATTTTCTCTGCTCCTCCTCCCTTTCCTTTTCTCTCTCACTCTTCCTTCCCACCTTCCCTCATCAAACCTTGGGAAATTAGGAAGTAGCAGGCTGGAGTTTGCATGTACGCTCAGCGCACAGCCACAAGAGGGCAGGAGGAGATCAGGAGATTCAGCCAAAGACCTTCCCTCTGGGCTGTGCAGGGGATGACTTGGAATCCTCGCTGGTCCTGAGGAAACCACAACCTCTCAGAGGCTGGCCAGCTGCTCTTCTGCGTAAGTTACTACGTAGGGGAAGGTTTCTTTCTTTTTTTTTTTTTTTTTTTTTT